CTATATCCAAAGGACAATATATACATTAAAATGTAATATTAAGAAATAGTTAAACAATTCAAAAGAAGGCAGGGAAGTAAGAATAGAAAAAAAGCAAGGGAAATGAGAAAACAAATAATAAAATAATAGGCCTAAATCCAACCATATCAATAATTACATTAAATGTAAATCATCTAAACACTGCAATTAAAAGAGATGATCAGATTGGATTTTTTTTAAAGCCCTAACTATGTGTTGCCCAGAAGTAAACCATTTTAAATACAACATAAAAAGATGAATAAAAAGGCAGGAAAAGATATATCACAGAAAAACTAATCAAAAGAAAGCTGGAATGTCTATATTAATGTGAGACAAAATAGATTCAGAACAAAGACACCACAAGGGACAAGGAGAGATAGTACATAATGACAAAAGATCACTTCATCAAAAACATCATTCTAAATGTGTTCGTAACAGAGCTTCAAAACATATAAAGTGAAAATACACAGACGGGAAAAAAGAGGCAAATCCACAATTATAATTGGAGCCTTCAATGCTCCTCTCCCAGAAACTATAGAATTAGTAGAGAAAACCAGTAAGAATATAGAAGACCTAGCGATGTTATTAACCAACTTGACATAATTGACCAAAAATGCACATTAAATATTTTTTGGTTTTTGTTTTTTTGAGTGTGTGTTGTTGTTTTTTTAAATTAGTGCACATAGGACATTCTGGGGCAAAACAAATCTTAACAAATTGAAAAGAACTGAAATTTTAAAAGTATATTTTCTGACCATAACTGAATTACAATGTGCTATAAAGTAGCTCACTCTGTTACCTTTTGGTATATTTTCACTGTTTAACTTGGCAACTTCATTCAGCCAGAGTATATTGCTACATAACCAAGCTGACTTTGTTTCCAAATTACTTCCGAGATTAGTAGTGACTTAAGTGCTATTAGAGAATGTTTTGGTGCACAATACACATTTGACTATCAGTCATCATTTTCAATGGAAATAAATCCAAAAGGCAGGAAACTGTTAACGTATCTGCAATGTGTTAGAATGAAACAATAGTTTCATCTTGGACATTTAGAAAACTTAGGCGGCAATTCTTTAATTCTGAAGAATTCCATTTTTTTGCTTGATGTAAGATCTGAGAATTGCTATTTCAACTTTTCCTGTAAAACATTCTTCTTGTAGTCTTAGGACCTTGAGCAATGAGTTTTATCATAATAGTGCAAACACCTTTGAAAGCAAGATAAAGCACGTAATAAAGCAATGGTCAGCAAATAACCCAAATGCATCAACTGTGAATTGGCTAGTAAATGCTACTCCTGCACCAGTGACTAATCATATATTCAAGTAACAAGTATGGCATTGTCTGCTGACAAATGATTTCTTTTTTAATATATATTTTTATTGATTTCAGAGAGGAAGGGAGGAGAGATAGAAACATCAATGATGAGGGAGAATCACTGATCGGCTGCCTCCTACGTGCCTCCTACTGGGGATGGAGACACGACCCAACCTGGGCATACGCCGGATGGGATGTGAACTGGACCTCCTACTTCAAAGGTCCGATGGTCAACCACTGAGCCACACCAGTGGGGCTGACAAGTGATTTCTTAAAGGCAGATTATCGTGTCCTAACATATGGTGACAGGAGAAGATTTGACTCTGGGTAGTGGGCACACAGTGGAATATACAGAAACCCACATAGAAACCCACCACTGAAGCCTGTATGTTCATGTTAACCAACGTCACCCCAATAAATTTAATAAAACAATATTTAACAAAAAAGGCAGATTATCACATAAAAAATCATAATATAATTAGCATCTTCGTATTAAAAATTATATTTTAGGGAGAGGCTGAGGTCATCATTGGATTTGAAATATTTAAAGTGGATATAAAACTGTTTCAGCAATGCAGACAATTAAGTGTGTTGTAGTGGGCGATGGTGCTGTTGGTAAAACATGTCTTCTGATATCCTAAAAAGCAAACACATTTCCATCTGAGTATGTACCCACTGTTTTTGACAACTATGCAGTCACAGTTATGATTGGTGGAGAGCCATATACTCGGACTTTTTGATACTGCAGGGCAAGAGGATTGTGACAGATTACGACCGCTGAGTTACCCACAAACAGATGTATTTCTAGTCTGTTTTTCAGTGGTCTCTCCATCCTCATTTGGAAATGTGAAAGAAAAGTGGGTGCCTGGGATAACTCACCATTGTCCAAAGACTCTTTTCTTGCTTGTTGGGACCCAAACTGATCTCAGAGATGACCCCTCTCCGATTGAGAAACTTGCCAAGAACAAACAGAAACCTATCACTCCAGAGACTGCTGAAAAGCTGGCCTGTGACCTGAAGGCTGCCAAGTATGTGGCGTGTTCTGCACTCACACAGAAAGGCCTAAAGAATGTATTTGACGAAGCAGTATTGGCTGCCCTGGAGCCTCCAGAACCGAAGAAGAGTCGCAGGTGTGTGCTGCCACGAACATCTCTCCAGAGCCCTTTCTGCACAGCCGGTTTCGGCATCATACTAAAAGCAATGTTTAAATCAAACTAAAGATTAAAAATTAAAATTCGTTTTTGCAGTAATGACAGATGCCCTGTACCTACCCACATGCACTCCTGTGAAACAAGGCCCATAGATATGGCCCCTTTCCCCCTCTCAATACTAGTTAGTTTTGAGTAATTGTGTATTGTCAGAAAAGTGATCAGTACTAGTGTTTGTTTTGTTTTTTGTTTTGTTTAAAAGCAAGGCATGCTTGTGATGACCCTGTAACAGACTAATTCGGGTTGTTGAAGCTGTTCCGGGTTCCACTCTGGAGAGTGAACTGAGACATCTAGTATTTTCTTCTTTTTTTTGTGGTGGGAGGGGAGGGGTGTGTGTGTGGAGTTTGTTTTTATTTAGTCATTTTTTTAAAATTCATTAACCATTGGACAGCCCTTTAGTTAGGTGAGGAGGATGGAGTGATTCCACTTCCTAAATCTAGTTTAGAAAACATGTTCCCACCGGTGCTCTTAGGAAGGAGTATAGTAAACGCCTCCTTTAGTAACATACTCCTTTTTGAAAGTTGCCTTTTCTCTCCATCCTTGAGTAGGTTCAGTATTTGATGAAACTCATGAAAGTGGGTGGCACCTGTCTTGCCCCTCCTCTTTTCTAGGATGCACTGTATACCGTGACTGACTTTCAAGAAATTTGTTAGCCGTTTGCTGATTTTTTTTCCTGAAGTTAATGTCTAACTTCCTTCACTGATAAATGAAGAAAAGTACTGCAGCCCTAACCGGTTTGGCTCAGTGGACAGAGCATCGGCCTGCGGGCTCAAGTGTCCCGGGTTCGATTCCGGTCAAGGGCATGTACCTTGGTTGCGGGCACATCCCCAGTGGGGAGTGTGCAGGAGGCAGCTGATCGATGTTTCTCTCTCATCGATGTTTCTAACTCTCTATCGCTCTCCCTTCCTCTCTGTAAAAAATCAATAAAATATATTTTAAAAAAAGAAAAGTACTGCACCTTTTGAAATATACCAAATGGATTAAGTACATAATTTTAAAAAAAACATTTTTTCCTTGTCAGTCATTGTCTTGAATGCTTAGCATAGATGTGCAGCTTAATAGTGTATGATATGGTGTTCCTAGAACACAGCTGAAGACCTGGCATATACGAGGGGTGCTAGAAGACAGGTGTCTGTGGGATGATTCACATCCTCTTCCAGTTATGAGGATGGAGACCTGATTCATGAAGAAGCTAAGGGTGGGGAGGGGGTGGGGAGAACATTTAACAACATGGGGACCAGTCAGAGGAATCCCCTTCTTTCTGTTTTGCATGAGGAACCCTAGAGCAGCCAGTTGAGGCTCTCTCATTTAATAAAAGCCATGGAGAGAGTCTTATGAAGACTCTTCATAAGTGTTAATAGGGATTTGATCAGCTTATTTTGGTTGCAGTTTCCAACATTGTTAAACATGTTTAGGTAATATTCTCCACCCTCCCCAAATCCTAATTCTTGTAGTTTCATTAGTGTTGAACCAATGCTTTCTCATGTCTCAATTCTTTGTATATGCATTCTTTTCAGATGTATTAAACAAACAAACAAAAACCCTTCAAAAATTATATTTTAGAAGGAAAAATATACCTAGAAGAATTTTCCCCCACCAAGGACTACCTAGTAATCTCTCGTGAGACTCTGCTTGGAAATACAATTTGGGAAATGCTGCCTTACGGTTTACTTGGACTACGAATTCCATGTTATCTATATGAATGCTCTGGAGTAACATAGTGTTCTGAAACTGAGGAAAACACTGGGTTGAGAAAAATATTTAGAAATATAGACCCCTGGAATGTGAGATGAAAACCAGAGTTTAAGAAAACACGAGAAATACAGAAACACCGCCGAATGAAACTAGGACCACCTAGAGGAATGAATCTCATTTACAACTGGGTTTGAATGTGTGGTGTCAGGGTGTAGCTCTGCTTGACAAGTTGGACCGTAACATTTCTGGGGTGGATCCCTTCCCAGTCCCCCTCTTAAAATTCAAGGGAGAGCCAACGTTTGGGGACTCGCAGCACGGCTCCTATGCCTTTTCAATACAATGAAAGACCAGTAGGGGGAGAAACTCGGAGAAAACTGGGCCCTAAGCAGTAGTGATCTCAAAAGGCAACAGATCCCATGACAGGGCTCTGGAGCAAAAAGAGGCTTGTGTGGTATGCAGCACCAAAGCACCACCCTGAATCTCTGATCTATTGCCAGGATGGCTTTCCTGATGTCTCCGCGGGCACGACGCGAAAAAACCGCACGCCTTCCGAATAGTCACAAGCACATCCTACAAGCTGACTCAAATTTGGAAGGAAAAAAAGGGGGGGGGGCGGGGGCATTGCAAAAAAAGGTCTCCCCTGAGTCAGTCTTGCGGAGAGCTGTGGCAGTGCCTTCCTTCCGGGATGGGCTACACCTTAACCTTTCGTTGGCAGAAGGCAGGGCGTGCAGCAACGGTTTACAACAACAACAACAAAAAAGGCTTTCTTTCTAAGATCGAGAGCCACTTCTGGTTAGCCGCCGACACGCGGCGGTTAGCCACCGCGCCCCCTTCTCTCGCCGCCGAAGGAGGAAACCTCACTTCCTCTACGGGCATAACGTGAATGAACTCACTCCCCGGCTCCCGGTACCCGCCTTTCTGTCTCCCTACCCCAGCCCGCCTGATGCTCGAGGAAAGCGATCTGCGACACGCGCGCCGGCCGAGGATGACACACCACCTCGCCCCTGCAAAAGGCGTCGCGCCCCACCCGCGCGCGCCAGCCAAGCAGCCCCCACGCCGCCCCAACTCCGGGCGGAAAAGCGCGGCGCAGCCGCACCCGCGCGCTGTCACCCGAGGTGCCCACTTCCCCCTCCCGGCCTCAGCACTTTCACTTCCTCCCCGCTGGGCATCTGCTTCCGGGGCACGGAGGCCCCGCCCCTCCTCGGCTCCAACCCTCCTCAGCCCGAGGAGGGGGGAGGCCAGGGGGTGGGGATGAGCTCGTTGTTTGTTTACACGATGTGAGCGGAAAAGGAGACCAATAAAGTTTATTCTGGAAACAAAAGGGGAAAAAAAACAGGGGTGACAGAGAAAGGAGACGGGGGCGGGGGCGTGTGGCGGGGGCTCGCCCGGAGAGGCAACGAGAAGGAGAAAGCGGTAGTTCCGGTGCCGCCGCCGCGGCCGCTGAGGTCTCGGGCTGCTGCCGCCGCGGCTGCTGGGGCTGGGGCGGCCGGCGAGGCAGGGCTCGGGCCCGGCCGGGCAGCTCCGGAGCGGCGGGGGAGAGGGGCCCGGAGGCGGGGGCCGCGCCGCCGGCTCTCCTCTCCCTCGGCGCCGCCGCCGCCGCCGCCCGCGGGGCTGGGACCCGATGCGGCTGGAGCCGCGGAGGCTGGAGCAGCTCCGAGCGTGAGTAGAGCGCGGGCGCCGTGGGGATGGGGACCGGGTGGGAGCCGGGGACTCTCGGGCGCGCCCGCCGCGCTGGGCGGGGGCCGCCCGTGCTTGTCGGCCGCCGCGAGTTCGCCTGCGATCGCCGCTCCCCCTGCCTGGCCTGGCCTCACCCAGATGCAGACACCGGGGCTCCCTCTTTTCTCCCCGCCGCCGCTGCCTCGCTCCTGGTTTCCTTCCTCTCCCATTTTTGGTGATGGGGCGGCTGGGAACTGAGGAAGTGCGCCCAGGGCCGCCGCCCCGGGCCCCGGAGCTCGGTCCCCCTCGCCCTTGCACGCCCACCCGGCCCGCGGGTGGCGGGGCTGCCGCGAGTCCCGGGGCGGGCGGGACCCCGGGCGGGACCCCGGCGCGGAGCCGCGAGCTGGTCCGAAGGGGCTGTCAAACCTGCGGACTGACGGCCCCGCCAGCCCGCGACCCTGCGTTCGCCTCGTCCAGGTTTAAATCGCCCGGCTGGGGCTCGAAGGAAAACCGCACCCCCGCCCCGCAGCTCCCCTCCCACCCTTCCTCTCGAGGTGGTTTCTTTCTTTCTTTTTTTCCCCCCTTTTGACCGTGACCATCGAACGTGTGGATCTTTTCATTCATAGACCTGAGTGACACATTGTCTCGTGGTTGGTGTCTTCACCAAGTCTCGGCTGTGATGCTGGTTTCGTAACTCCGAAGTGGTTCGGGGCGACGGGGCAGCGCGGGTGACCGCGGCCCCGGAGGGTTCTTTTAGGGTTATTTTAGGATGCTGAAGGCACCGTGGTGGTGGCGGCTGGCTCCTAGACTTGGGAATCGAAAGCGACTTTCTTAGATGTCAATAACTGGAGAGCTGTTTACATAGCTCCCTGCAGGGAAAGGGGGCGCAATAAGGGGAAGCGTGTAGAAAACAGCCGGCACATTCTTTAATGAAATAGAGCTGTGATTTCGGGTTTTTTGGGGGGGGGGGCGGGGAGGGGGGTGAAGCTTCCTCATTTTAGCGCTGCGCCTTTGTGCACATGCAGAACATGGGCTGGTGTAATGTTTTGGGTCGTAGTTTGAGAAGCCTGGGAGAACCCCTAGAAAACTTGGGTAGGTGAACTCCTGGTAACTCAAGTCGGGTGTTTTCTCCGGCTGCATTGGAACCACTGCGGGCGGTACTGGTCGCCTGTTTCCCTGCTTAGAAAGTCGATTCTCTGGTTATCTGCTTACATGAGTGCACTGTACACAGTTTATGTGCTGGGTTGCCTGTGAAGAAAAGACCTGGAAATACTTAGGATACCATGTTGCCAACTGAATTTGGATGAATTAGAACACAAGCAACGACGGCATTAGAATCTGTTCATATGTCTGTGTGTTCAAGTTTTAAGTTTGTTGTTTACTTTTTTTAACTGAACTATTGAATTCTGGTGGACAGCCTAGCTCTCTATCTGAACATCACATGTTCTGGAAAATTTTAAATATCAGATGAACTGTTCTGCAGTGTCATTTTTATCTGAAGATGATCCAGTGATGTGTGTGTGTATGTGTGTTGGGTTTTTTGTTTGTTTTTTCGTTTTCTCAGTTTGTGTTTTGAGATAAAATTAAATAAAATTTCATCAATAACTTTTTTCAGAAGTTTATCATTGACTGAGTATAAAGTTTGAAAGGCATTGCTATCGGTTTTAGTTGAAGAATTAAAAATGAACCACATATTCATGCAGAACAGTGTTTTTATATATCTAATTTTTAAAAATTATAAGTAAATTGGACATAGCATTAAAGAGATGTCGCTAAATATAAATACTGTACTTAAACTGAAAAATTACATGAAAGTGTATATTCTCGTGGGGCTAGGTATATATAAAAAGGAGACTGTAAAAGAGCAGTGGCTTTGCCTGGTTCTGTATGTTGCACAGTCCTCTTGGAGGCAGAGCTTCCTTCCTGTCAGGATAAGATCCTCTCCATCCCAAATAAGTATTCCCTTTAAAAAAAACAAAACACACAAAAAAAACCTAAACTTATAAATAAAATACTTATATAATAATGTAGATCATAATAACTTTTTTCCTAAAACAGTTTACTTTGTGTGTGACTTTCCTTGTTAGTACCCTTTATCTTTAAACATTCATAGTACCATTTAAAAAAGACTTTTGCTTGTTGATTTGTTGATTTGAAGAGCTAACTTAATCCCATTTGATCTCTTTAGCAACTAGAGTAGCATTAAAGAATCAATTCTTTATTTTATTATTTAGCATCTTGATTGCCAACGTAAGGTTGCTTCTTTAAATGAAGCATCATAAATGATTTCATCTCTGGTGAAAATATTTATGATCTTAAAAATTGGGCAACTTTAGCAGCCTAAATCTTGTAATATCATGGTTTATATTTTACTAGCACAGTTAACAAGCTGTTTTCTTAAGTATTATTTATCCTGAGCTATACAACAATCCCATAAGTAAGGCAGTATTACTATCTCTGAGAAATGATATTTTAATCTAAGGCCAGACAGGTGTCAAAATGACAGACTCATTGATAAAAACCAATGTTTTCTGATTCCTTTTACTATATCATACCACTTCTAACCTGCTTTTTAATAGATAAAGAAACTAGGGACCCACAGAAGTTTAGTTGGTTAAGATACTCTTTTATTTGCAATATATTTCTAATTCCCTGTATAGCTTAAACAGTGGTTTTTAATCCTAGCTGGTTATTAGAATCATCTGGTTACCTTTTGAAAAATACCAGTGTCAGAGTCTCATTCCCAGAAATTCTGATTTAATTGGTTTAAGATGGAGCCCAGACATCTGTTTTGTTTGTTTGCTTTTAAAATTCCCCAGATAATTCTAATAGACAAGATTGTAAAGTCCTTGCTTTCAAGGACCTGTATGATTTGGTCCTTCTCTCTCTAGGTACATTTCTTTTCCCTTCTACAACTCCTCCTGAAGTATATGTACACTCCATACCCCATCCTTAACTAGCTGACTCCTACTCATCTTTCATTATCACCTCCTTTGAAAAGTCTAGTCTGGGTTAGGTGTCCCTGCTTCCTGTTCCCATAGCATCTTGTACTCTCACCATCATAGCGTTGACTCACTGCATTATAATTGCCTATTTGTCTGTACCCTCCACAAAGATGTGAATTCCATGAGGATAGGGATCCCTTTTATCTCACATACAGTTGTATTCTTACTGCCATGCACAGTAGCCAGTATAAAATAGGCACGTTATTAACTGAATAAACAAGCGTATTGGCAGCTGACTTTACAATATGTAATAATTTATAAACACTAATTAAGTTTTTATTCTTGCCAAACACATTTAATAATTTTGGTCACTAAAAATGTACATCCTTGAACTTGTCACACATACAAATTTCATTTGGAGATGCGATGTTATAAATTACATGCAAATTATATCAAGAATGACACTCACATTAGCTAGTTTGACTCAGTGGATGATCTGGAGCGTCAGCCTGCGGACTGATGGTTCCTGGTTCAATTCTGATCAAGGGCACATGCCCGGGTTTCGGGCTCCATCCCCCGTAGGGGGTCCCGTGCAGGAGGCAGCCGATCAATGATTTTTTCTCATCATTGATGTTTCTCTCTCTCTCTCCATTTCCCTTCCTCTCCGAAATCAATAAAAATGTATATATACTATATATATTTTTGGGGGGAGGGGAGAATCACACACACACACACACACACACACACGCGCAGAAATAAAGAGTATTATCCACTAACCAAATTGGAAATCAGGATACTTGAATTCAAATCCCGGTTTCACCATAAGTGTTATGTACTTAGGCAAGTCTCATGATCTTTGGACCTCAGTTTCCTCACCTGTAACACAAAAGAATTGTACTAATGTTTTATGTGGTACTAGTGTTTTAGCCTTAAAACCCTGTGAGTACTGAAAATATTGGCTTTGGAATCTGAAGCTCCTTGATTCAAAGTCTGGCTCTTACAGTTAGTGGCAGGATTACTTTGCACAGATGTCCTGTCTGCTTAATGGGAGTACTTGCTACTCGATAGAGCTGTTGTTTTTTGAATTAAATGAGATATATAGATCCAAGAGAGTTTTTATCCTGGATCAGGTGTTTAATAAAGGTTCATTTCCATTCCCCTTCAGAGGTATTAGAACTAATGAATGAACTTAGCTGAGATAACATACTCGGTTTGTGTAATAAATCCTATTTTCCACTTTGCTGACTGCTAGTGTTACAGGTGTGACTAGGGAGAGGCCAAAAACCTCTCTGGCTTTTAGTTTCATTTTATTAGAATCCCATTCTATTGTCAAACACCAAGGTGTTAGTCAACCTGCCTGGGAAATAATTATGCCTAGAAGTTACCTTACACACAATGTAATAATATCTCTGCTGAAGTTTCTTGATATCTTGATAATTTTTGTATAAATTATATTGACTTGCCTCAGTTTGTTCTTAAGTTTATGTTTAAAGGACATCTTTTTAACAATCCTTTTTTGAGAAAAATACTATAATAACAATTAAAAACTGTGGGTAAGAGAAACTGAAGTATTAGGGTATAAATACGAAATGTGAGGCAAAACTGAAGTCTGAGTATTCAACTTGAAGGCTTGAGAGTTCCATCATTCTAAAGATGACTCAAACTTAGATATACTGATATGTATCTTATTCACATTTAATCCTTTATTATATGAATCAACTGATCCTGATTGAGAAAGTTTTAGGTGTTCTTTCTCCTCTCCCTAATTATACAGTTTGGGGAGTTTAAAGTTAAAATGCTTCAGCCCTGGCCAGGTAGCTCAGGTGGTTAGAGAATCATCCCCATATGCTGAAGGTTGCAGGTTCAGTCCTTGCCAGGGCACATACAAGAAACAACCAATAAATGCATAAATAAGTGGAACAACAAATCGATGTTTCTCTCCCTTTCTCTCTCTCTCTAAAATCAGTCAATTAAGAAATTAAAGTTAAAATGCTTCAATAAAGAGTTTGTAAGTTTGTAATAAAAGTAGTAGCTTAGAACTTTTCCTTCAAGTTTAAT